ATCCTAGGCGACAGTAGATTGCCTTGTTATTTTATAGGTATTTAATAATTGCCGTGGTAGAGCCTCGTAGTAGGTTCTGCTCAGTATACAGGATGTCTTTACAATTAATAAATGAACACATAAAAAAATATTAACGTTAAAAAATCCATTTAAATAAAATATTTTTCAAACAAACTAATTAAGTAAAAAAATTTGTAACATCCTATACAATTACAACTGACTGATTCATACATTCAGAGACTTTTTCATTCGTTGCCACAGCGTCGCATTACAAGCCTCTCCTTCTAACAGTATGTTTTGTCTCTATCAATTTCATTCAACCCATTCATATGCTTTGTGACCTTTACAAATGAACTTTACGTTAAAGAAAGAAAGAAAGAAGAAATATTTATTCGGCGCATTACATTACAGGAAAAAGGAAAAAAAAAGAAATAACATTAGAATTTTAAAAATGTATGCACCAAAAAGGTCTCCGCTCAGTATATATTGCCCTGGCAAACAATACCACGGCACTGGTTTTCTGCGGATACCTTGTAAGATTGGCGTTCAGCTCCATGCATACAGCCAACAAAAATAACAATGAAATAGACTAAAAACAATAAAAAAGGAATATAAAAGTTAGGAACAATAAAATCAAAAATAAAGTATAACAAAAAAAAATATTAACAAAAACTATAACATGTCCTCAACACAATACGAGTACCTATATACCTATGAGAGCTGAGTTGACTGGGTGCAACTTTATATATATATATATATAATATATGCAGACAGCGATCTGATCGGTTTACGTTACAGTTTTATACGTGAGGGTGTTCTAAAATTCGTTGTTTTGGAAAATTCAATAACTCTGTAAATATTGATGTTTAAAGAATGTAAATGTCCAATACAATTTTAAAAATTTATCCTCTATATGTGTGTTCATTTATTGTCGCGATTGTAAAGACACGCTGTGTATGTCTTATAATCTATGGTTCTGCTGTTGCTAATAGTCCGGTTTGTCTGAAGAAATATCGCGGCCTCTCAGAAGGACTATCGAAATTCAAACTTTATATATTATTGCAGTATGTTTGGTGAGAGGTGATTGGGGTTCATCAAGTTTGGCAATATGGCATAAAAATATTATCGTAATTATAAACATTTATTCAATTTCCTCGAATTAAAAAAATTAACAAGAAAAACTCAACGAGTATATAAGAAAAGCTAAAAGAAACGTTGACGGAATTCCAAAATAGAATTTATGACTTGAAATATTTTAAATGGTCTCTGGATTTTTTCTGAATCCATTTCAAATTAACAGTCCATTTGAAATTTTCCATTTCCAATATAATTTTGAGTCAAAAAGCATCTGGTGAATAAGAACAAAGATGCAATGCTCTACAATTAAAATGTAATTAAATTGGAAATTTGTACCACAATCGAGGCATAAGTACGTTGTTCCGAATTATTTCAATATTCGGAACAACGTACTTATGTCACTCATTTTATTCCACTTTAAAATTCATGAAATCCAAACACCGATCAGTATTAACTAACCAGCATCTCAAAGAATTAATGAGAAGTGCTATCAATAATTATTCACCAAAATTTTTAATCATTATCAAAAGAATTAAAATAAATATTTTTAATTTAAATTCAATACATATATTTTGTATTTTTCAATAGAAAAAAGAAAAAAACAATGAATATAAGTTTTATAAAAAAAAATTAACACCTTTTTTGTATGCCTTTAAATAATTATTCAATTGCGGCTCCTGAAAAAGTTACTCGGACTATCAAAGAGCTTGGCCACCCCTGTTCTATAAAAAAATCTATAGGTTAAGCGTGTTCGCTAGTTCAACGAACTGGTTTTATAAACAGTTTTGTTGGGCATTGAGATTAGTCTAGGTGCACAACCATCGGAATTTGCTCTTTCGAATCGGGTTTTACTTTTTTCATATTCCTTTTTAGATTTCCGTATCCAAAGGGTAAAACGGGACTCTATTGTTAAGACTCCGCTGACTGTCTGTCACCAGGCTCTGGTCTTTAACAAATACTTTTAGTATTTATTGTTATAGGGAAATATTTTTTGTTACAACAGAATAAAAAAATATTGCAGTGGGGCTCCCATACAACAGATTGATTTTTTTCCCGTTTTTATAGATAATGGTATGGTACGGAACCCTTCGTGTGCGGCTCCTACTCGCACTTGGCCGGTTTTTTGGTTGAAGCGTGTTATAATGGATTTTTTATGTCAAGCGAGGAGGCGGTTCACCTGATGTTAAGTGAATACCGCTGCCCATGGACATCAGCTACACCCAAGGGTTATAGATGCGTTGACAACCTTTTGAAGATTGGGCTCCGGCTACCTCACTCACCAGACGAAACGCGAAAGTTTCTGTTATACTTCCACTTTACGCCGGTTTTCTGTAAGGTCGTGGTACTTACCCGGACGTGCCTGCCCATTCGTCCGACAGCCGAGGCTGCTGCATAGCCCTACCACCTTGATTATTCGGATTATTTCGGATTCAGTCCATTGGCTCGGAGTGTTGGAGTTTAATGAGTTGTTTAAAGAAGTATCAAAGGATTTTTATCTATTTCTTCATTCTCGCTTTGTTATTTTGTAATTTTTACGGCTGTAATCTGTTCATTTCCCTAATAATGTCTGTGTGCGGATTGGTATGTGTCCCTGAGATTTCGATGTAAAGTTTCTCAGTTAATATTGTCAAAATAATTATTCCCCTTTAATGTCTTCGTTAATTATTAAATAAAAAGGAGAATTTAGATACGAGGTTAAACATCGTCACTCTACTCCTTTCTAGATAGTCCAGAAATTCTTAAGAATTCCTTGAGTGCTGTGTGTGGTTTGTATAATTATAATATAAACATATATTAATAAATAAGTGATGGGTTTCCCATGACTATCGTTCGCAGTTTGCTGCTGAGTAAACACTTGTTCCCGAGAGCACGAGGGATTAGTGACAAGAGGCTGCTGAGCTACTAAACGCCATGAAAATAATTCGGCTTCTACATAAAAGTAACAGAGTGAAGACAGCCGTCGTTTTTTTTTAATGTGGCAAAGTGGCAAACGAGCTTGCGGTTAACCTGATGTTAAGTGATAACCGCCGCCCATGGACATTTGCAACACCTGCGAAGCGTTGACACTTTTAAATTAAGTAGGCCCCGGCTACCTGACTCATCAGACGAAACGCAGAAGGGTAACACTTCAACTTTACGCCAGTATTCTGTGAGGTCGTCGTACTACCATCTTTAGTTACTTATATCCCTCTATGTGATTAATGAGTGAACAGGCTCCAGGCAAAAAAAACAATAAAACTACTTCACCCGGAACATAATTATAGACGACATTAAATACCGAAGCTTGAGGAAGTCTACAGATGCAATTACATTTTATATAATAATTGTCATGTTTACGTATGAGTGTGCCGCTTCTGTGTATGTGGGGTTGTATCATCATCACATGACGGGGATGTATGCACATGATGTTTTTGAGAAAGCATTCGTGTTCTTGTATGTGTTGATTAGGAATTTAGGAATTATTATAAAAGCATATTTCAAGATTTCTAGTAGCTTCTGCTTATTTATTAAAGACTCCTTGTAAAGGTTTGAAAGCTGATTTTGTTTCGTGTTGGTGGAGGTAGATCGTTACAAATTTTGTAAGCTTGGTACTCGAAACAGCCTGTAAATCTAGTCGTTCGGTAAGTAGTAATTGTAAGTAAACTCTGAGCCACTGTACAACTATCGGTTATACTTTACAACTTTATTACCAATTTTTTCCCGGTCCTAGTTTAACTTTTATTACATATCGCTTTTCAGCGTGATTAGGGTCACTCAAGTCTTCGATGTTGCATGTTCAGGCCCGTCCGGGTGAATACCACGACCTAAGAATACCGGCGTTAAGTGGATGTGTTAGACTTCTGCATTTTGTCTGGTCAGTGAGGTAGCCAACTTTATAATAAGGTGGCAACGCATTTGCAACCGTGTGTTGCATATGTCGAGCGGTTATCATTTAACGTCAGGTGAAACGCCTGCTTTTTGCCACCTTTTTACATAAAAAAAATATTGTTTCAAAATCTCGTTTGACAGATTTAGTACGTTTAGTAACTTAACTAAGATTTTTACTTCTTTGTCTTATTAACAAAGCTAAATTAATCACATCTTTAATGTTTTCCAGAAATTGACGTAATAATGGTGAGCACAAAACCATCCTTTATTAATAGCATTAATTACAAGAATTGAACGTTGTTCTCGTTAATCGCGGTTTATTGTAGTTTTATGGATGTTTGCTCGGTGAAATGTGAGTCAGCACCTTGACAGTGACTGATATCAACAAATGAACCGTAACGGCTCATATTCATAGTCGAATAACATGCAACTGTAACATTAATGTTTGCAATATACCAATATTGAAAGAAGTGAAAGTATTAAATTAGTAAAGTAGAACAAAAGATGCTGCCATAACGTATCGCTTAATAAGTGATTTTTTTTCATATCCTATAAGTTTGGTATGAAGAATAATTATTAAATTAAAATTTATAAAAAGCTCGTTTAAGACTCTTTGGCTCAGTCTTGATTCCTTCTTCAAACAGTGTTTCCAAAACCTAAGTTCGACAGGTGTGATTGTTTTTTTTAATGTGATAAAGTGGCAAACGTGCTGGCGGTTCACCTGATGTTAAGTGATAACCGGCGCTCGTAGACTTTTGAATACTTGCTGCAAATGCGTTGCCAACTTTAGTGCCTTATTATTGCAACAATTGTTATCATTTATGGTTAAGTACATTTGAAAAATAATTTCAGGATCGGTCTATGAATACGTCTCAAAATGTGTTAATTGGAAGAGAACGTACGGTCCGTTACGTTTCCTAAAACACCCGTACTGTAAACGTATGTACATTGTGTGTCACTGGAACGAAACACCCTATAAAATGGAATGTCGGATCATGCTTACAACTCAGATTAAATCGGGATTAGCGAACGTCTCAACATTGACATCAATCGAAATGTCGAGTTCTAGAAAGGTATTGTGGTTGTGCGCACTTGCGCTATTTATATTTATAGCTCAGATTCAATCGAAACCATTGGACGAAACTAATGAGTCGGCGTTACAAAACTCTCGAGCTCAGGACGAGGAAATGATGGATACGGCCGAGTCACAGAATCCTTTCTTGCCGCGATTCGCTATGAAAAAGTTGAAGGAGAGACGCGAAAAAGCGCGCGCCCAAAGAAGACAAAATCAAGCTGCAAGAAGAACACAACCCTCTCCAAGTCAATCTAATTGTCCGCAACGACGTTATTATGTAAGTATTAATCACTTAAAATAGTTTTTTTGAGAGTTACTCAATTAAAAAAAATATATACAGAGTCTAAATTAAAGTAAAATTCGAAAACACAATTTGCCCAATTAATTTAATATCACGCTTATGTTGTAAAACATGAGCTATTCATTATTTCAATTTACGATTCATTTATGGTGCTTTTGCAGTCTTTTTTACAATACATCTCTATATAGGCGCTCTGACCTGCCACTCTACTCTAATTATTTACTTAAATAAATCGTAGACTTTCTTTGACCCAGATTTTATGTAATATAAAGCAACTTCTCCACATTTCTCACCATACTTACTGTTTAGTGTTCAACATATTCGTGTTGTTTTCAGAGAAAATGAAGTGTTGCGTGCCTTTTCTCCTGTCATTAGGGATTTTAAGTGTGGTTGCCGACACTGCTGTTGATCAAAACAAAAATGGATTATTGTCAGATACAAGTGATCCAAATTCGAAACAACTTGAGGCAAAATACGAGAAAGGGGCTCTTGAACTGGACGTTGATCAGGAAGCCATAAACGTCGGTTCAAATGTGAATAATAAGGTTACAGATGAACTCGGTATCGCTGAAGTTGTTATTCAAGTTGAAGAAAGTATGAATGGCGTGCCAATCGACTTATTAACTCCAAGCGATGCAAACTCAATTTTGTACGAAGAGTCACAAGAATCACATACATTCTCTTATACTGAGGAAAATGAAATTATACATAAAGATCCCGATGAAATAATGGAGACAGCAGCGGGATTCGTACCTATTCCAATAATAAGAAAGAGGCAGAAACAGAGACGACGATTCCCTACAAGGAGAAACTTTATTAGAAATCCATATCCATACAGAAGATTTTACTTTTACCCAAATACGTTTTACTATCCAAGCTCTCTACGGTTTTATTAATATATTTTTATAAATGCATAATTATAATTAATTATTCTAAGTGTGAATGTCTATACTTAAGGAAATAATTAAATAAACGAAATTATTTAAATTATATTTATTTCTATAAACCTATTCACCTATAAGCATAAATGCCTTATTAAATTAGTGATTTTAATATCAACATCTTAGTATTCCATATTTACTTCAGTAAAGGGACTTTTCGCTGTTTACTAAAAACATTAGGACACATAATTATGTATTGTAAATAAAATATACTAAATTGTATTTCATACATGGCAATTGGGCTAGAAATATTCCCAAAAACATAGTTAATTTGCTTTTTTATTTTAAATATTAATCATATGACACAGAATGTAATAAATCAATTTATATAAATATGTACATGAGTAAATCACAAAATACATCTCCACGCGTGTTAAAATATTATGGAACAATACCATTTACATTTTTTCGAAAGCTTAATTTAATAAGGTTTAGAGGGAGGGGGGAATAAATATATAATAAATATAACAAGACGACACTTTTAACATTACAATCTTTTTTACAGAAGGCAAATTATAAGAATGAGTCTTTGTGTTCTTGTACAATCTAAAATATATTAATCTACTTTGACGCAAGTGCCGATGCTGTTGCTCATTTACCGGGTCCTACCACCGCTTCGTCCATTAGCTCGTCGTCGGTGATGCAGGGCGAATTGGAATGCGGCGAGGGGGCGACAAGGGGGGACGGTGCGGGGCTCTTCGCCAGTTGCAAGGCTAGAGCGGGGGAGGGGGGGTATACCGGCCTCACTGCCACTAAGCCCGACACCTTGCTCCCAGACGACGAGGAGAAATCTAGCAACATTTCAGCTGCCTCCTGCGGCGTGGTTGCACCGCTCCTCGCCACCGAGCCGCTGGCCGGTGGCTTCATACACGAATCGGCGCCCTTCCTATCCTCCGTGCTGCCTTTGGGTGCGGGAAACCCCTTCGCCATGTCAGTCTTGAAGTCGAGCGGCATCATTGGGTAAGCCCCGGAAAAGCCCTCCTTCGAGTCGTCTTTACCTCTTTGCGGGCTTTCCCCCTTCGCGAGGCTCTCTAAGTTTTTTGAGAAGTCCCCCGCCCGTTCGGACTGTTCCAGTTTACTCGACGGCACTGTTTTCGGACTCATCGCGCCCATGTTCAACAGGGGCTTCGGCACGTTTAAAGGGTAACCGGCTTTTTGTAGAGACTCGGCATTTCTGGGGTTCGAATTGTCGAAGTGTGGAAATGGAAACTTGCTTTGGTCCAGAGACCGCGTAAAGTCGTTCACCAAGGAACGCCCGTCATATTGCGAGACTGGACTGTTTTTATCCGGTGTGTTCTGATTTTTTAGTTTTGGTATTTGAAACTTGCTGGTGTCGAGTGGTTTGATCAAGCCTTCAACCAGAAAATTCGCCTCCTTAGAGGCTTTAAACCTGTCACCATCTACGTCATCCCTCGAGCTACTAGGGCTCGAGTGACGTTCGGACTTGGAAGAAAATATTGATTTTTCGGAGTTGCTCATAAGTTTAGTCCTCGCCTTTTCTCTTTCTCTGTCTCTTATTATCTTGGATAAATCCGAACTGCTATTTTTCGGAGAACCCGAGCTAGGTTTGGACGCTGACTTTGACAAATTAATGCCGGTGCTGCCGCCGCTTGAAGATTTAGAGTAAGGCACTTTAGGAACACTACTTGAACCCGAAGATTCTGATGGACTCGTATTGCTTTTAGGTGGTGTGGAGCTTGTGGACATTCCGGACTTAGAAGACTGCATTGCTTGCGTTTTTTTCGATGCCGGGCCACTTATAACGCCAGGCTTCAGTCCCGTGTGAGTTTTAGGGGAACCCTGGCACGGTGGGGTAAGCTGAGGCGATGATTGTTTACTTCCACTGGAGCTACCATAGTTCAATTTTGAACCGCTAGACGACTCTTTAGACCTCGTTTTGTTTATAGTGATTTTCATTCCATCTGAACTTGGCTTCACCATGTACTCTTGATTTTTACTTTCGCTCATCTTCAAACTGCTACTAGTCGCGCTATTTTTTGGATCTGAGAACTTGCTTGCGCTGCTGGACGATCCGCCGGACTTTCCACTGATCAAGTCGGGATCAGCGCTATGATGGGCCGATTTCAATTTATCGATTACGGCGCTAAGCGAACCTTTTCTGTTTCGCGCCTGGCTCGGTGCATTGGATTTGTTCACCTCTATGTTGGGAGGTGATATTAAGGGTTCCGTAACGGGGCTGTCACACGAAACTGGCGTTATCTCGAGTTGCTTTAGTTTCATTGGGTTTTTTAACTTGGGACTACTTCTGTCGGAGCTAGAAAAAGACAAACTGGAATGCTTCTTCTCCTTATCCCTGGAAGCGAGGGAACTGGAACCGTAGCTGTCTTTAGAGATCTTTTTGGATAAATCGTAGCCCGTTGTGCCGGATTTACCGGAAGGTGAGCCACTGGTCGCCGACTTTAATGCAGACATACTGGGCTTCCCCGAACCCGAAGAACTGTGTTTAGGGGAGGAGATACTGTGGTTTTTTGGACTCGAATACCCTGTGAGATGTTTGGGGCTGTTTTGCACCGGGGAGTGTCGCGGGCTGCTGTGGTGGCTAGAGGTGCCCGTCGGCTTCCCCAAGTTTTTTACAGAGCTCGGGCTGGGAGATTTCGTGATCGATACTGACCTGCCGTGCGTGGGGCTCGGACTGAACTTGCGCAGAATGGAGTTTGGGGACGTGGGGCGCATCGGGGACCCGTCCGTTGGCTTTATACTCACTGAGACCGGTTTCGTCAACGGATCCTGTTTCGGTGGCACTTTTTCGGGGGGCCCCATGGAGTCGTCTCTCCGTCTTTTCTTCTTCTTCTCCTTGCCGCGCTCTTCGCTGGACTTACTAGATTTCTTATCAGACCTGGAGTCGAGGGATTTCATTTGTGATGACGTTATAGGCGTTATAGTAATAGAGCTTGGCAAAGCGGCGGGGGTGGCGGCGGATATGGGAATTATCTCTATGCCCGGACGGCGGTCCAGGCATAGCATTGAAGAGATGCTCGATCCGGAGCCGGCACTGGCCGCATTGGAACTACTAGATCCGATAGGAGTAATGCTTACAGAAGAAGGCATGTATGATTTACCGTCTGTAAGGTCTAAGAGCAAAGACGATGCGCTTCTATTGCTCCTCGACTCAGTGTCTTTCGTTTTTAACTTTTGCCTTTTGTGCTCAGACTTGTGAAAAGAATTCCTGAAACAAAACGAATCTAACATAAGATACTATATAGATTAAATAGGAATCTGTGTCTGTTTGTTTGTTACATAAAAAAGTATAATGAAATTTGTTTCGTCGACTAACCGAATCATTTCCTCAGCTTCGCCGTCATTCGAATTGTCCATATCCGAGGAGGTCCTGTTGTCTTGGGCGCTCAGAGCGTCGGTAGCGTCCATCCCGGACAGTTCCAGGTCCGAGGCGAACTCGTTTTGGGACACGGACGACTCGCGACCCTCCAGATCGTCGTTGGTCGAATTGCTGTTCATGGTGTTGTCGTCATCGTTCGCGTATTCGGAGTTGTCGCTCTCGCTGTCGGAATCCGCCGCCTCCGTGATGCCCTGCTTGCCCTTCTTCTGGCTGGCCGACCACATGTCGCCGTCGGATTTCCTCTTCTTCGTTTTCCGCTCTTCGCACGCCTGCGGCTTGGCGTCGCTCGTGTTCGGCTCTTGGCACATCATGGACAGATGGTGCTGCTGCTCCGAAAGATAGGCGCCTGGGGGATTTATTTCATAATGGTCTTAAATCTAATACGGTTCACTTATTCTGCCTGTTTGATAGGCGTCCAAATATTAATTCGTTTTATTTCAATTTAGACATTATTAAGATTCAATACAAAACTAAAAACATAATATAGATAAATGTTATATAAATTGTTTTGATAAATGTAGATTATCATGGTAACGTGAATCAATACACGATTGAGTGTTAAACAGCGTGTTTGGGGGAAGAACGCCGAATCTACGTGATGGTTAGGATGATTAAGAATAGGAAGAGTAAGTTCTAATAGGAAGAGTAAACAATATGAAGAAATAAATTAATAAAAGTAAAACCTTTGCTATCAGTGCATATTGAACACAGTTAATGTTGTATATTACAAAATTATGGTTTTACGTTCATCAGTGAAAACTGACTTCTCGCGAAAGGCGTTATTGGTTAAAATTACTTAAAAAAGCGTCATTAACTTGTTTATTAATTTTGATACCTCCGTGGCGCTGTGGCCAAGGTATCGGCTTCGATGTCAGGGGTCGTGGGTTTGATTCCCACACGGGACAATAAATTTCGAATCTGGGTGTTTGTCCACGTAAATTTCATGTTGTATATTTAGGTTGGTGGCATGGGCAACGGTTGGTGGTATAGGCAGTGGTTGGTGGTAAGGGCAGCGGTTGGTGGTATGGGCAGCGGTTGGTGGTATGGGCAGCGGTTGGTGGTATGGGCAGCGGTTGGTGGTATGGGCAGCGGTTGGTGGTATGGGCAGCGGTTGGTGGTATGGGCAGCGGTTGGTGGTATGGGCAGCGGTTGGTGGTATGGGCAGCGGTTGGTGGTATGGGCAGCGGTTGGTGGTATGGGCAGCGGTTGGTGGTATGGGTGGCAGCGGTTGGTGGTAAGGGCAGCGGTTGGAGGTATGGGGCAGCGGTGGTGGTATGGGCAGCGGTTGGTGGTATGGGCAGCGGTTGGTGGTATGGGCAGCGGTTGGTGGTATGGGCAGCGGTTGGTGGTATGGGCAGCGGTTGGTGGTATGGGCAGCGGTTGTTGGTATGGGCAGCGGTTGGTGGTAGGGGCAGCGGGCGGACACTCACCGCCTTGGTGTGGGTGGCTCACGTTGGCGGGGTAGAGGGCGCGGCCGTGCACCGTTCCAGGCTCGTGTTTCACGTGCTCACCCCCCGGGTCGAGGCCGCCAAGGCCGCAGTTAAAATTCGAGTCCAGCGCCGAGTAGTTGCCGTTCATCTGCTTCGTGGCGGCCTCGCGCTCCCATATCTTAACCAGGGACCTGAAAGGGATTGACGCGGTGGTTGATAATTTGAAATAAATAGTCTCATCATTTAGTGCTAGGGCCGTCTAGCAGCCCTTGCCTTTGTACTAATCGGCAGGTTTGACCGGGAAAGTACCACGGTCTCACGGAAGTCCGGCGTAAAGTGGAAGCAGTATACTTGCGCGTTTTATCTGGTGAGTGCGATAAGCGGAGCAGACTTTTTAATGGTTGGCAACGCAACTGCAACCCCTCGTTAATTGCATGTATCTGTTAATCACTTAACATCAGGTGAACGTCTACGCGCTTGTCAGCTTTCTCCAATTAAAAACTCCCATGGGTAACATTCGAACAGAAAGTTTGGAAAATGATTGGGCACTGCCCTACTAAGGTGATTGGCATCACGCACACTCTCAAGTTGCGACAAACGTGCCAGTCTTGCGCAACTCACCTCAGCGTGACCGGTATCGAGTGGCTCTTCTGCAGCACGCGGCTGATGTAGTCGTCCACGTGGTCCCTCGGGGGGCAGTTGAGGGTGCACACCGTGGCGCGGGGCGCCGCCGGCTCGGAGAGCTCCAGCTCGACGGTCGCCATGCTCTCGTCGAGCGGGTGCTCGAGCGATATGGAGATGTGCTGCCACGACAGCGCGCTCACCTCGAACATCAGCGCGCTCTCCAAGTCGATCACTGCGACATGCGAGATACGCGCGCGTGCGATTCGATACGAGCGATGGGCAGCGGTTGGTGGTATGGGCAGCGGTTGGTGGTATGGGCAGCGGTTGGTGGTATGGGCAGCGGTTGGTGGTATGGGCAGCGGTTGGTGGTATGGGCAGCGGTTGGTGGTATGGGCAGCGGTTGGTGGTATGGGCAGCGGTTGGTGGTATGGGCAGCGGTTGGTGGTATGGGCAGCGGTTGGTGGTATGGGCAGCGGTTGGTGGTATGGGCAGCGGTTGGTGGTATGGGCAGCGGTTGGTGGTATGGGCAGCGGTTGGTGGTATGGGCAGCGGTTGGTGGTATGGGCAGCGGTTGGTGGTATGGGCAGCGGTTGGTGGTATGGGCAGCGGTTGGTGGTATGGGCAGCGGTTGGTGGTATGGGCAGCGGTTGGTGGTATGGGCAGCGGTTGGTGGTATGGGCAGCGGTTGGTGGTATGGGCAGCGGTTGGTGGTATGGGCAGCGGTTGGTGGTATGGGCAGCGGTTGGTGGTATGGGCAGCGGTTGGTGGTATGGGCGCGATCCACCGATAGCTGCTCCAGATCCTGGCGTTTATCCCCGAGGGGGGTGCCAGTCAAAAACATGTTGTGCTGACACCGCAAATATGGGATAGGGGCGGAATACAGAAGAAAAACAGTGAGGTTTACTAAACACACACACACACTCACACACGGTACTCGTAGGTGTGTGCGGCGGCAACTACTCGAAGGCATTCAAAACTTTCGAAATGCAATATCGAATTTAACGGTAGTAGGGCCACGCAGCAGCCTTGGCTGTTGCACGAATGGTCAGGCTCGTCTGGGTAAGTACCAAGACCTCACAGAAGACCGGCGTAAAGTGGAAGTATAACACTTTCGCGTTTCGTCTGGTGAGTGACGTGGCCGGAGCCCAATTTTCAAAAGGTTGTCAACACAACGGCAAACCCTCGGGTGTGGCAGGTGTCGATGGGCGGTGGTATTCACTCAACATCAGGTGAACCACCTGCTCGCTTGGCAGCTTTTCACATAAAAAACAAAATCAAATTACGAAGACGGCGACGTACGCTGCTTGGTCTGCAGGCGGACGCAGGAGGTGATAAGCGCGTTGAACAGCGCCTGTTGTCGCAGACACGCGAGCAGGGGCGGCACGTGCGACGGGTGGGTGAAGGGAACGCTGCCCACCACGCAACCCTCCAGGCCGCGCGACTCGCACATGAAGTAGCACTGCGTCTGCTCCGGCAGGTGCTGGCCCCAACACGAACCCCATTGAGACAGTCATTCCGATTGTCGACCGACGTCAAAAAAGGTCCACGGGCAATACTCATTCCGATTTTCTACCGACTTCTAAATGTTCCAAATGTTCATGAGCTTCGGTTATCACTTAACATCGGGTGTACCGCCAGCTCGCTTGACACCACAACCATATATATATATATATATATATATATATATATAATTATGTCGTACAATATTTTGCAAGTCATATTATCATAATCTTAATAATGCTACACGTCATTTCATCCATATAAAACAATTGATATGATTGGGATTTGAACTAACCACAAAAAGTCCTTTGCTGAGATTCAACTCGATGTTCTTGCCGGGTGTTAGCTTATTGTACGCCTGTTGAGCAACCAAGCCCAGCATAGGTTTCGAGTTGGCCCAATCACCCGAAACTTCCACCTAAAATAAGATGGCTATATTATCCTATACCACTTAAATGAGATGATCATATGAATGTATTCAACCCGAATGATATGATCATATTTAAGAAAAAAGCTTAATGTTTATCATGGACAGCGTGTTGGATGTTAGTATTAGTTTTGGTATAAGATAAAGCAAACATTTTATTTGGAATACAATTCACTATTGTCCATGAAATTTTCAGTGAGACAGTTATTTCTGGTTGTCATAATTGTCAAATTAAACATGGAGTCTATACATAGAAATGCAAGTTATACATCTAATATATAAAATTCTCGTGTCACGGTGTTTGTAATTGAACTCCTCCGCAACGGCTCGACCGATTTTCGTGAAATTATGTGTGCATATGTGTGCATCGGCCAGGGTGGCGATTCGGACATCTATTTTCATCGCCCTAAATGTTAAGGGTGGTCCACCCCAAATATTTTTTTCTACACTACAAATAATTTATATGGCAAAACAACGTATGCCGGGTCAGCTAGTAGTTATAATATAAAAAGAACACATGTTTCATATATTCCAAATATCTAAGTTTAGCACTTGTTTTCTTTATTAAATCTACTTCAATAAATATTGCTACTTAACAAAAAAGAAGAAGAAAATCCGGTGCAGAGGAGAAAAATTTACTGAACTATCACTACAAAGTTGTCCTGCTATCTATCCGACCCAATGTATGCTTATAGATCTTTAAAACTACGCAACGGATCTTGATGCGTTTTTTTTATTAGATAGAGTCATTCAAGAGGAAGGTTTATATGTATAATACACTAGCTTTTCGCCCGCGGCTTCGCTTGCTTTGAAGCCCTTAAATAACTATCTTGCTATGCTTTACAACACTTTTTTCCAATTAAAAAATAGCCTATGACCTTTCTCAGGCTCTAGACTATCTGTGTACCAATTTCAATTAAATCGGTTCAGTAGTTTAGTAGTGAGAGCGAGACAGACAGACGAGGATGGGGTTGGCGTATCTTTATAGATAAAAACCCCATAAAAATAAAGATAATAAAAAAAAAAAAAAAAGAGACAGACAGAGTTACTTTCGCATTTATAATATTCATATAGTATGGATTGCACCCGTGCGAAGTAGGGGCGGGTCACTAGTGTATTTATATAATGTTTAAATGATTTAACATAGTTTTATTAGCTTCAATTGTATTAACAGTTAACATAATCACCTCAGTGGTAGCGTGGATAAGCTTTGCAAGGCCTGAGCATAGTGGCATTGGCTGTGATAACTTCAGCGTGAAACAGGCAGGCAGCATCGCGCTGTTTTGAGGCACGAGCTGCGCGTACACGGGCCCACTTCTGTGGAAATTTAACCAACACAATGAAGAAAGCTGGATTTTCACTGAAAAATATAGAATAATAATTAATAACCCGGGATGGAAATAAATATCACTGATTAGTTTATAATACTACTTGGGGAATTTTTCATTTACCTGTAAATTAAAAAATATTTTATTTGAAGAAAAATTACTTATGGCGAATCTTGAGATGCAACTTGTATCTCTTCAGTTTCAATATATTATGTGAAAAACCAGCTTTATTCCTTGCAGGCAAGATTATGTTATACATTGATACACACACTATAAAAATAGTATTCATTGTGCATAATATGACATTTTTGTAATTTTATTGTGTTAAAGAAAACCTTACACAGTCATATCATTAGCCAACATTTATCTCGTTGTTATTAGTACTTATTAATGGCTATAAAACCATAAATTCTCTAAAGTGCCAGCCAATTTACTATGTTGGATTAAGCATGCATGTTACAGTTTGTGTAACAGGTTTACCACAGAATTGAGGTAATGCTTTGGAAATATTCTTTTAAACACCTTTTTAATGAGGCAAAAGCAGTGCACTCCTATGTTCAATTTGTGCAATAAAGAAGATGCAAATCATTTGTTGATGGTATGCATATAAATGAAAGTTTTAGAAGGATATTATTATTCTGTGATAGTGTTTTTAAATAGGTATGCAACAACAGATTCATTTCATTTTCTATGCCAAAGTCAAAATAGTATTAGCCAAACCAGATTTTGCCTAGTATTTTGTAATTTTTTTTTTAAAAAGCAAATTGCTAAGCGAAAAAGAAGCATCAGTGTAAAATTCCAGCTTGATTTTGTCTAATTTCACTATTCAAACAGAGATAAAGTTTATAAATGTTATGTTATTTAAAAAAAACATATACCGCCTTACCCTTTTCCTGGTCTTGGTCCACCCGAAATTATTGGAGATAATTGTAGTTTGTTGGCTGTAGAACCCTCAAGTAACACTGTGGCAGAATGTCCCACAGGTGTATGTGAAGGTGCAACTAAAGAAGCCAAACCACTTGAAGCTGATGGTTTACCCATTGTTAGCAAATCCGCTGTCAATGGTTGTAGCCCTTTCTCTTTGTCTAACAATTCATAAGGTGATACAAAATAAGTCAGACGCATGGCATGTCCTGAAAAGAATAAAAAAGTTATCATGATTTAATAATGATTTCTATCATTACAATCATCACTAAATATAATACCGCCGCATAATTGGGCATTCTGTCTTCACTAAAGTTTTCTTTTTATTTAAGGATTATATTACAAAACCTTTATGAAAACATACCTCCTCTACGCTTTTGAAGAAATCCTATGGGGCTTTTGTGTACCTGAGCCCATGGATCCTTTATGAAACTTTGAAGCTGTCGTAACATGCACAAATCTTCCTCCAAACTTTGTAGTGCACTGAAAGCCTTACATTTAACCTGCAAGTTAAATTATAATAATTAATAATAGAGAACATTTTTTCAAGTAAAAAAATTAAAGCTTTCCTGTAATTTCATTAAAATTTACTTTTTATTTACCTCACAGAAGTATTTTAAAAATATTATGGTGCTTTAGATTTTTGGAACTTAATTCTTTTTATAAATTTACTAATAATGTCAATAAAAGTTTCTTTAATTTTAATAGGTAGTAAGTAGTCACTAACTATAAGTTTTTTACATAAATGTATCAAACCTTTTTTTCAGCATTCAATTGGTAGACAGCTGTAAGTCCTTCAAGTTGAGCTGTAAAATCAGCAAAATCCCCACGCATTATACATGCTACCATTTCTTCACAACTCTGCTGTTCAATCTAAAATATAAAAAGTGTTAGAAATTGCTATGTAGTAGATAAATGTTCTAACATATTCTTATATCACATAACTGTAACAACATTATATTCCAAGACAAAGTTATTTACATTTATTATAAATATGAAGTTCTATACTATTATCTTGAAGAAACTAATATTTTACGAAGAATTATAAATTTAAAAGGCGCAAAAGGCAAGCATATGTAACAGATTTTGGAACAAAAATAAAATAGGAAAAGTTGGTGTTTGCTATAAATGTACACTTGAGAAGAACATGAGAGTTAATCCCATCACATCAATAACCTGAAAACCTCTTTATGGTAGGTAAGTACCCAATCGAGCCAAAATAGAAAATTCGTTTAAGTTACACTTTTGGCCCAACCAATTCTTTGTGAAAAAAAGGAAAATATCCCACACAAACAATGTAAGAAAATAAATAAGAATGCTCTTCATTATTTCACAACTCTTTGAGAAAAATGTCTTAAGGCAGAAACTCTTGCTACATGTGGCTTGTCAGCAAACTATGTTGTTCAGTTACAGATCCACGTGGGGTTACACTAAACAAAACTGCACAAAATATTTCATCCTTCGGTCAAACATGAATTGAATAAACAGCATGCAACACCTGCATTTTGTATACACAACAATCCCCTAAATTCGTATTCGAATTCGTTCCCATAAATATTATGTCCAGACAAGATTGTGGAAATAATTGTGGAAATTTACTAATTTGTCTCTGTTTTGAACTCTGAGCAGGCATAGAGTTAGGCCATAATTGGGATGAAACTTGATACAGTCTATGGACTGAAAATGTTTATATCATTCATCTAAAAGCACAAAGCATTTGAACAGAATTTGATTTTAAAGTTTTATGAAAATATTACCTTTCCTTCATGATGAATTTTTACATCTTTTACTGAGCCGGATGATTCAACTAATATTTCTAGATAAAACATATCAGAAGATATGAAAAGATTTACTCCAGATGTGCCAACAACAAATTTTAACCTGAAATAAATATAATTTTCACAACTATAACTATTTTATGATTTTAAAATTTATTTTGTTTTTTTTTTCAAATTTAAATATATTAAAAAGCTACAAAAAAGTGCTATGTATGTATTGGAGAGAAAAGTAATGAAAAAAGTGATGGTATTTATCTTATAAATTCAAAATAGTTTTAGTTGAATCAAAACATTACATTATTTTGAGTATACTGTAGTAATACTAACCCAAGTTGCCTTGAAAGACATTCAAGTCTTTCTATTAAACTTTGTAAAGACCTGACTTTTATGCAGTGTTGTAAACTATCCAGGCATTTTTGCAGAATTTGACGATCTGCACTGTCCACTGCCCACCTTTTGTCCTATCAAGATTTAAAAATAAATAACCATAATAAAAACCCAGTTAGCACAAAACATTTACTTCATTTTCCTTTTTAATGAAAAAGTTGGCTGTTAATTGGTATCTACAATACCCAAGAGATGGCAGCAACATTTAGAAAGTGTTCTGATAAGCTCAAAAATTGAACAAAAACCCAAAAATATAAACACTTAAAGTTTTACGCTGTAGCTATGTTTCTTCCTCGAACAAGTCTATTCAGTGATAATTTCTTCTTAATGGAGAAAACTGTTTATTTAACATAAAAATTAAAAAAAAAATGAAAGAAATATTTTCAACATTCTAATTTATAATGAGATTCAAAAACGTACCAGCATAGCCATACGAACAGCTTTTGAGGTTTCACTTAAGTTTTTATACTGTGAAGTTTTGGACCTCAACTTTTCCATAAGGATTTCTTTTTGAAGCTCTTTGGACTTATCAATTAGACCATTGGCGGTCCCCATGGTTATAGGTTTAATTTCCGTCATCGTCAGGAAAACTTGTTCTATAAAAAAGCAACAGCCTTAGGCAACAACAAACAAAATTGATAACACCTGTACTAGGAACTACAGATGTCTTTTATATTTATTATGATTTAGGCTTTTTATCAAAAACTGGTTGACAACTTTTTAGATGATTGTTGATATCTAATTATTATGTATTTAATAATAAAATAATAACAATATTATTTCTTTTTTAATAAATATACTCATCATGATGTCCCAGCTAGACAAGAGCAAGCAAGCAAACTGTCAATTTCATGCGAGATGCCATTTGCTATTATGAGAATAAACTGGCAATGCTTTTGAAGAAACGTTATTCTTATCTGTTCAGCAGTAAAATGGCCTAAAGAGTAAAAGAGATGAAGTATACAATTGGTAGGTTTAAATTGGTATTTAAATATAGCAGTATTTTAATGCCAACTGCCTAATTGCGTTCAGAAATACGCGATATACGACAATGAAATAAAATAAGATAAAAGAGTTTAGAAATATGGCAGATGTAATGTGTTTATTGTACATGCATATTTTATGTATGGTTAAACTCTTTGAATTTATCGTTCTGATCAACTTTTACCAATTTACCAATCATCTTGGCAACTCAAATCACAGAAACCATTTGACAGCTGATTAGTTAATTTCTGTTGATTGGTAATCTCAAATTATACATACTCTTTTGATGTCACTCTGACCTATTTGATTTAAGTATTATGTTTGAATTACATTAAATTGACTGAATTGTGTCATATTTGATTGATTGATTCCGTTAAAATCGTTTGGAGAAGTAACATGTATCTGACATAACTCTTGTATTTTACATAAATTTCGTAATCATTGCGTTTGGTCTAAAATAAGTTCAAAATGTTAAAGTTGAAATAAATAGTTTTCTTATCAGTCCTTAAGTGTCTTTTTGGCTTGAAAGTGATCCCATTAGCCACATCTACCATTCAAGAATTTCTACGATGATCAGTGTTTCAGAAACCGGGCGTTAATCTTTAAATCACTTTAACTAAGAAAATTTCAGCTTTAAGGCTGGATACTCAAACATTCTGCAAGTGCCTTGACTCACGGAGTACATTCCAAAGAGTAAAGAAATCTACGAGCACATCCGGAAAAAGGACCATTGCGTACGGGTGGCATTTGTTCGACACAGAATAGCAGTAAAAAGCTATACTCCTCGGAGTTCCCGTTAGACTTGTGAAAATCATACGAGACTACTTATGGTACCCTCGATTTTAATTTGAGTCTCGACCTCTCAGGGCGAGGATTCCCCAGAAATCGGTATTATCCCGATTCTATACCCCTTATGCATTAGTTAAATCACTTAGGACTCTTAAGCTACATTTAAACTGGTAAAATAATAGAGTCAAGTAAAAAAATATGGGTCAAGTGTTTAGTGAAGTAGATAGTCAACTTGGCTTGCAAGCTGTCTTGCACTAAGACCCAAAAATAATCGCTTTCTAATTTTTGGTGCAAGTGCACCCCGCGCGCGTCCCCTTAATCACCCGCGGGGTACTTGACTCCTAACTCACATAAATGAAAACCGGCCACGTGCGAGTCGGACTCGCGCACGAAGGGCTCCGTAGCATCCTTACTAATATTATAAAGGCGAAAGTTTGTATGTATGGATGGATGTTTGTTACTCTCACGCAAATACTACTGAATGGATTTTAATGAAACTTTACAATAGTATAGTTTATACATCAGAATAAGACATAGGCTATAACTAATATACATATTTTATGTATATCTGTCTGAATGTTACGCTTTCAGCCTATTCTACGCAGACATGGTTGCAAGAGTTAGTTATCTATAAAAAAGGCAAAAAAATGATGTCTGTTGTATGGGAGTCCCACTTATATAATTTTTATTATGTTTTTTTAGTATTTGTTGTTATAGCGGCAACAGAAATACATCATCTGTTAAAATTTCAACTTTCTAACTGTAACGATTCATGAGATACAGCTTGACGATAGATGGATAGACAGACAGACACTGAAACCCACAGTTTTAGTAATGCTTTAGCGTCATTTAATATGCATTTACAGTAAACATATAAAATAAAAAAGTGTGCGTGTACTAGCGTACACTCGTAAGAAGTGAAACTTTTTTATGACGTTATTTTTCAAAAAATAATTTACTATATGCAACTTTACAGAAATTGGTTAAATAAAGTTAAATTAGATAAAGTTTAATAAAAGGCTTTTATTATCATAGACATAAATACAAATTCTACAATTATTTCATTTTAGCTTTGTATAATATTTAGTTTCTTATTTGTAATACATAGGTGGCGTTAGTAATTAAAACACACTATGGTTTGACCGTTGTAATTAGTATGAGGGTGCGCAAAAACTGTTGATTAAAAAACTTGCAACGTGAACCTTGTTTATTTCAATTAACCTCACGGACCCAAAATACAACCGCTTTGAATTTGTACATGGTCCTTCGTTGCCGAATAGTCAGCCAGTGAGTAGAAGGCAGACATTCGACTCGCGCGCGAGTGTTGTGAGTGAAGTTTTTTTGGAAAACCGAACTTGCGGACGTTGGATCGACGTCGCAACCGCAAGTTCCAGGAGCTGATCGAGGTTTCGAAGAGCATCATCGGTCAGCTTCAGATTGTGTCTTTGGTGGACGGCGCAGTCAGGTCACGGTGGGCGGTGCCTGCCGGTGCAAGTCGACACAGTGTCGTGCTCTGAAGTATTAGAGCTAGCACACTGTCATTACTACAAAGATTATTATTGAATTTCATTAATTGTAATAAATAGAATTATTACTATCATTGATGTCGTTATTATATATTTGTGTTATTAATGGCTTATGGTAACTGAAACACGAAATATATTGTTTACATTTTAGAATTAGAATTAAAATAAACTCTTTGATTTTGCTGATCACTTTAATATAACATATATATATATATATATATATATATATATATATATATATATATATATATATATTGTTATGAACACATAAAAGAACTAACGCCATCTAGCGTCAACTATTAAAACCACTAAAGAATAAAGACGACATAAAACCCCCTATTCAACACTACATGGCGTTAGAGGAACATTTTAAGATAAAAAAAAGATGCCGCGTAACGGAAAAATGTTACACTAAATTTTTTTCCAACCCCGATAAAGAAGTTTCACTTCAATAAAAATCAGTCTTAGCTAAATAAATTGAGTACGGTTGGTGATGCAGAATTTCCAAGCATAGGTATCTCATATAGTTTTAAGACGATCCATTTTGTCGTGAATAAGAAGACGTGGACTCGAGAAATATGTAATTGTAAAGTCGTTCCTTTGACGTAAATCTTGTTTATTATGCTGTGAGACATAATAAACAAGCTTTCTAATAGTTGTTCTACGTCAACATAAGGTATAGGCAATGCTGTCTTTGGCCATACCTACATGTAATAAAAATGTTGCATCTGGGAATGTAAAAATACGTCACAAGACATAGCGGTAAAGGCTAATAATGCACCATACACACAGCATCATCTTATTGTGTGTTAATTCGGGTTTCTCTACTCTGTAGATCTTGACTGTCCTTTGACCATGATCTTTTTTTACACACGTTCTTGTCGTCGTTGGTGGATCACTTTTTTATTTATTTATTTTTTTTATTTTGAGAAAAAATCCACAGCATTTTGTTAAAATATATACATCTTACTTAAACTTAAAGTCGATTTGGATTTACATTATTTAGCTACTAGTGATCAATCACTTCAAAAATAGATTGGTTTTAATATGTTTAAACAGAGAATCGCAAATGAGTACACGATTCATTACATTTCTTTCAGTGAGCTCGAGTACGAACTAACTTTGTACTACTATTAATGACACTGCTTTAGGTTCATAAAAGTCACTTTCGTGGCTCGTGTCGCATTTTCTCCTTTTTTGTAATAAAACTTTAAAATGTATGGGATAGAAAAACCTTAGAAAATATTCTTCATAAATTATCTAAAAACTATTGAATTAACATTCAATACTCTTTAAAAGTATATAAGTAAAACTCAGAAAAATAAAACGCATCATTGAACTATTTATTAATTTACAAATAAAAGCATAGGAAAACATAAAGTCACGAGAGTTCTGTATTACGCCACTTGCGGGCACGTGAGTTCTCTAAAGTCATATCTTGTCTTCATTATAAATTACCGTTCATAATATTGAATAAAACAGAAAATTGGATTCTATTCTTGTAGTTTGCAGTATTATTTTGATTGCCGTACCGTTAGTTGATTGTTATTATTCGAAACTCAATATTTATGAGAGAATTTGTATTTGTACCGCATGCTATTCAACCGTAGGGTTTTGAAACCGTAGGGTTTAAAATTTTGAAAGATTTACGTTAGTTAAACACCGATGTCTGAATGTTGCGACTAAAGAATGACGGCTATTTCATTACTTATTCCGCCGATAACAATAGGTAATATACCTACCTATACGAGTATATACTCGTATAGGTTTTAATATAATAATAATCGAGATGAAAAGTGAGTTTAAATTCGTGCGTTATTTTAATGGACAAAACACGAAACATAAAACAGTGTAATTTATTAACATAATGATTTTTTTTAAATCTTATTTGTGAGATATATGTGATTATGAAATTGATGGAGTATTTAACATTTGGATAGTGATTTAAAGCTGAAACTTCCTTATAATGAAATGTGGTTGCTATACTAAAATAACTAACACATAAAAAATACCTATCTCACAAATAAGATTAAAAAAAATCATTATGTTAATAAATTACACTGTTGTATGTTTCGTGTTTTGTCCATTAAAATAAGGCACGAATTTAAACTCACTTTTCATCTCGATGGGTATAAAAGTATTATTTTATAACACCACTTTTTACTATAGGTACTAAGAGACACACGTTACATTACAAATTCCAATTGGCTTAGGTCAGCACCTACAGAGATAACGTTTGTAGAGCCCGACACTTATGTTTTAAAACACTAAAAGGGTAAAAAGCTACTAAATTAGATTGTAGAACCTTTGCTTCATTTATCCCGCGCTGATCCCTATAGTACAGAAATCGTGACAAGGATACATAAATAAAAGGAACTTTTTCACAATTCCACCACCGTTTTCCGTTTTTTATCTCTTCGTAACATAATTATTTATAAATATTATTGGTGAATAAATAATTTCAAATATACCGACTATATTACATGAATGCGATGCTCGAGGTTCAGG